AAAAAAAACAGCAAACTGTAATTTTGTTTCACTTCAACAATGTCATACTGTATGTAAAAGTAAGTTTTTGCCATTATGCAATCTTTTTGGATTCTTAGCAGTGGGAAAAGAGTTAATGACACCCACAGAGCAGATGAAGTCAATAAAAATTATGCTAAGACTACAAATCAGTACCTGTGACATGGAAGATTAACTGACCACCAATTCACGGCATAGTCATTACCTCTGAAAGCTCAACATAACAACCTCCCATCAACCAATTAATAATAGATCGAATGCAGAACAGGCCTTTGGAGCAACTTCATGGCACTTCCCATTATAGAATTTCACATATATCTTTAAAGTTACTTTTATACATTAGCAACACAAAAAAAAATTGGGAATAAAAACTTCAAACTTGACAGCTTCTAAGACGCATGATATGTTATAAGCAAGCCTCAGTAAGATGATTTATGAAAAGCACACACACATTTGTTTTCAAGATTCTGAGATGAAAACTTCCCCAGAGGATGGAGAATGTTACAGGAAGCATGCTTTTCTTCACAGCGGACAAACTATAATACTGAAGATATTCAACCTTCAGTCTTATTTACACCACTGTCCAAAGAGTATCCGACTTTATTTTTTGCTGCTGTAAGTAATGGGCAAAGGATTGGGGAAACTAACCACAGTGGTAGAAGGGACTTTCATGCACGTGCATGATTTTTTGCTGACTCGCAGCACTGCCGGATGCAACTGTGGCTGCCAAAAAGTGAAGTGGTGCAACATGTTTTCGTTGCATTCTCGTTGCGCTCAAGATGACAGAACGCTTGGAACAGCAATACTGCATCAAGTTTTGTCAAGACACTTGGGGATACCCAAGCAGAAACAATCCGCAAAATTCAGTGGGCTTTTGACAATGATGCAATGGGGGCCACTCAAATTAAAGAGTGGTTCAACCACTTTAAAGATGGCCGTATGTTGGCGGACAGTGACCAGCGTTTTGGGAGACCGTCAACGAGCCAAAATGCTGATGTCATTGAAAAAGTGCAGACATTGATCATGGAGGACCGCCATTTGACCATCAGGGAAGTTGCAGATGAGGTTGGGATCAGCAGAGGTTCCACAAACACAATTTTAACTGAGGATTTGGGCACGCGAAGAGTGGCGGCAAAATTTGAGCCCTAGCTGCTTTCGCCGGAACAGCAACAACTCCTCCTTGTGGTTGTGCAGGACAAGCTGGATTGCGCCAACAGGGATCCTGAGTTCCAGAAGACTGTAATCACTGGTGACTAGTCGTGGGTGTATGGATATGACCTGGAAACCAAGGCCCAGGCATCACAATGGAAGCATCCAACATCCCAGAGGCCCAAAAAAGCATCACAGGTTCAGAGCAACGTGAAGGTGATACTGTTTTCTTTTTCCGATTACTGGGGTGTTGTGCATCATGAGTGCGCACCACTAGGCCAAACTGTCAATGAATGAATATGTATAAGGGGTGGGACTTCTCGGCCCTTGCACCGCGACCTACAGTGATCTACTGTGCTTCCCCTTTTCATTATCCCCTCAGCAATCCTGCGCTTGGAATGAAGCATAGGATTTTGTATGTGGGGGCGTCCATTTAGTCTTCTTGGTTCCATAAAGTACTGACTAAAGTGACATAATCTTATATAAGCAAGGCCAAACTGTCAATAAGGAGTACTACCAAGAAGTCCTCCACCATCTTCGAGATGCTGTTCGGCACAAGAGACTGGAGCTGTGGGGTGGACGCAACTGGCAGCTGCATCATGACAACGCCCCAGCTCATTCATCAAACCTGATCCGGGGTTTCCTGGCCAAGCACAGCATTCCGCAGGTTCACCAGGCTCCCTGCCCTGACATGGTTCCTTGTGATTTCTGGCTGTTCCGAGATTGAAGACACCGCTAAAAGGCTCCCATTTTGACAGCCGCGAGGGCATCATACAGAACACAACGGCGCAGCTGCACGCCATTCCAAAAGAAGCCTTCCAGAATTGCTTCCAGCGATGGAAGGACCGCTGGGCTAAGTGTGTGGAGTCACAAGGGGCCTATTTTGAAGGGTATGGTATTGTAACGACCCAGATACAGAACTTTGTTTTCCCAGCCCAAGGCTGGATACTTTTTGGACAGAGTAGTACTTTCTGATCCCTAATATCTCTAACAATTTTAACTTTAAACAAACACAGTATTGGATTTTACTCTAGCAAGGAAAGTGTTCTGGGAAACCATCGAGATAATCCTAATAATGAATATCATTTCCTGTAATGACAATGAAGATAGCACATAAACCCATGTCTATCTTCAAAGGGGAAATTAAAAGCTGCTACAGTAAGATACACCTTGCTGGGGAGTGCAGAAATGTTTCTGTGGGACTTTATATTACCATAATTAAAGGGATATTTATGCCATCAGGCTCTTCCTTTTTTGGATGTTTCAAGAGAGAACAGTAAAAGAAAATACCAAAATTTCTGAGCAACAATCTTCACAACAAGAAGTGTACAGCAAATATTACAGACATTATTCTTCTTCAACCAGCATCTCTGAGAATCCATGTTGTATACAGGCAAAATTTCATTTTCCTCATATGATACTCTGTATTTTCCTTTTTCCCCATCTCTGAGTAATTTGATTAGTGGGGGGTGGGGGGGTCCAACTGGGTCCACTCGGCACGGCAGCCACTGATTGGCCTATTGTACCTGCCCCGGGTGATTATGATGGAGAATTTGGTGGAATGAAGATTGACAGGGAAGCCGAAATACTCGGATAAAACCAGCCCCAGCGCCACTTTGTCCACCACAAATCCCACTTCACCAGACTCAGGATTGAACCCGGGCCGCTGCGGTGGGAAGCCAGCGACTTACCGCTTGAGCTATGGCATGTTCATCTCTGAGTAATACTATTAGTTTTATGTATGTGCTTCAATATTTGATTACCTGCTTCTGTGCCAACAAATTCTTACACCATTCTTACAGATTCTTGCATCTCAACTAAAATGCCTTAATGGCACATCACATTTAGTAACAGTGGTCTGCAGCATGCATTCCATCACAACCTCAATCAATCACATCTAGTTAACTTCTTTACTTTTACTACTTTAGCACCCAACTCGTAAATAACCACAGCAGAATTTTATCACATACTGTTACTCTTCAACCCTTCATCTTAACCATAAAGAGGTGACTGCTGATCTGTAATTATAGTTTCAAAAGCAACTCTAATTCATTTTAAGTTGTAGGTTCTGTTTTAGTTACTGTTTCCACTTCCTTTTCCATGCACAATCGGTGAGCTTTACATTTGTCATGGTGGTTGACTATTTCAAGACGAAAGTTACTGTTTCCATCTGCAAATGAAGTCCGGATGTCAGGTACAGTGTTGCTCCATTTGCGACAATACTTGCAAAACATTATATTCATTCTCTCGTCATACTGCAACCACACATATGTATCCAGCCAGCCAGGACGAAAACGACCGCCCTTTCTTTGCCCTGGCAAATTTGCAGGAATAGTTCGAGATCTAGCAAGTGGTGGCTGAATGACAGAGATTTCCTGTCTCTGTGAAGTTCTCATAACAGTTTTGGTTTTTGCACTGGTTATACCACTATGACATGAAAGTGAACCATTGCTTTCAGATGAAGACCCCAAGCTTGGGCCTACAACTGATTTCATGCAAGGTTTAGGTCTCCATGGCACAGTCATGGGCGACTGCAAATGGGAGGAAAACGTGCCTGTCATTGGAGTCGGTAACTTTGGAAGTTCTACTTTTTGTGTAATTAAATAGTGCCTTAAAACATTTTGTGTTTGCTGATAGCTTGTGTGCAGGTTTCCTATTTGACCTGTTCCTGCATCCATGCCCAAACGGTGATGCATTCCCATGCCCAAACCCTGCTGTAACTCCATGCCTGAACTATGATGAGAGTCCATCACCAAACTCTGATGTGATTCCATCATGGCTGAGCAGCCAATGGTTTCATCATTCTTTCCTCTTCCCATCTCCATATTTGTCTGTCAACAGAGAAGGAAACGATATTGTCAGTTTTGCTCTGCATTTTTGAGTCTGGCACAAGCTCACTCTTCTTTTTATTCCATTTCAATCAAATATTCACCGCCATATTTGTATTGAACGGTTATGACATTGGCACGCACTAGTATGAAACATGATTTATAAATTCTTCCACTAGCTGACCACCTTCTTCATTTATCCCATCACTTCAAGTAATGCAACATATCCCACGATGAAAGACGCATCATTTAGTATATCTTCTCTCCACTTTTACATTTCAGTATCCTTCAGCAGAAACCATTCACAAAGACATTACTCTTTTGTCTCTTACACAATCAGATCTGTAGGACCTCAAAAAGCATTACAACGTAATGTATTTAAACTTGGTCCGCACTGTAGACTCCATACATTACAATAAACAAATGCATTAAATTCTGTCACACAGCACATTGCCTCTGCGGAATTCCAAGGCATAAGATGCATTTGCATGCTATAATCATTAACACCAAAGATTATTTCTTTAATGATGTCTCCTTTTACACAACATAAAGTGAACTATGATTCAAACTGTAAACAGGTCAGTGGCCGAAAATATCTTAGAATTTTCATCCATACAATTTGAGAATTATAAAGTGACACACCATCACACAAATGATGCATCATGTGTTGCCCCTTTCTTACAGCAAAATTTCAACATTTCACAAAATATGAGTATCAAGACAAATTCCTGAGAGATAATCTCTATATTATCTTATTAAATTAAACCCATTTCAATATACAACACACTACATAACATCCACAGGTCTATTAATGACAATCTTCAGTTCCTACAAAGACAAACTATACCCATCCACAAATACTACTACTTCTGCTACCATTATCACAGGTACAGCTACTACTGCTAACTACTACTACTACTGCTGCTACTATTACTACTACTACTACTACTACTACTACTGCTGCTGCTGCTGCTACCACCACCACCAAATAATATATTTACTTACCGACGGTAGGGAGAGTGTCTCTGCTATGTTCAAGTAAGGCTCCTTATATTCTGAATGGCTTGGATCAACCTCTTGCTTTATAGGAGGAGGAGATGATGGTATATCCACAACCTCTTCAATGTCAGGTGTTATGGCATTTAGCTTTGGAACTGAGGCAGGGCTGGACTTGTAACTGCACTGTGATGATGTCTGTGGACAAGATAAAAATGTGGTACAATTTTAGTTGCTTTAACTCGCACAAATCATACACCACAAACTTATACCTGACTGGTCAATGACTCCTGCATTTGAAATGTAGAAGGCTATTTTGTGAACCAATAAAATGCATGTTGGACAGAGACTGGATCCCCTGTATATATGTAAAGAGATTAAATAATTCATTATGTAACATCACGCAGATGTGACAACATGCAATTCTGAGCAAGCTGGCTCACACAGTAATACTTCCAACTTATTTTTGGGAAGTTCCCAATTGAATCTTAGCCATGACACCAAACACCCAAGCACCTAAGGTTTCTCACAGTTTTCCTCAGCATCTCGAGTCAAATGACAGAATAGTTATCTTAAAATAAATCATGACCACTTCCTTCCACACCCTTTTCAATTCATCATTCAGTATTCATCCTACCATTTGATGCTATACAGTCTGAGCTCCTGATAGCTTCAACAAGAAACAACACATAAAATTGCAGTCTGGTAGAGAAGTTCCAATATTTAAGGGGTACCTTTCTACTAGACTACACGACGACACGTCGAAGAAGAGAGCCAGCAATCTTCCAGTTCATTACCACAAAATTCTCAACCTCATCATACTTATAATAATAACACCTGCAATAGTATTTTTACATGTTAAGTGTGACTACAGATGGGGTTTTGGATTGGAGATTGGATTTACTGACCACTTTAACACACAACTCATGACTACACTTAATTACAGTGCCATCACTGACCTCCACACTTTACAAATCGCTACAGCATAAATTCTTATCACCCTGCTGTGTCTTCACCAGCAATTCCTTAGTAACAGCTTCTCACAGTGGGGATCCTTCAACTGCACTGACCAAGCCTTCTCAGTCCACTTTCACTAGTCGTTTCTTGGTAACAGATCTTAACAATGAGATTCTTCAGCTTCTGTGCTCACATCGTTGCCCACTGGCTAATACTCCACAACTGACTCTGTGCCTCAACCAACTAACTCCTTGGCTGGTGGCCATCTCACACCATCCTCCTCGTCTTCTCTTCACTGACCTGACACTTTACTTCCTTCATAACCAACTACCAGGCTGCCAGCCATCTCACACCAACCTCCTACTCTTCACTAGTTGTCTCCTGGTAACAGGTCTTAACACTGTCCTCTGCTTATGTCATTATAATCTGACATATATCTCACAACTGAAGTAAGCTCTAAACTTTATCCTGCTTACAACCCCTCGGCATGGAGCAACAGAAAATACAGCTCTTCTGTTTCTGCATGCATGTCTGTTTGGGTTCCCATATGATTGCTACTGAGCCAGTCCATTCGCATGCTGGCTGCTGCCTAGCAACAGCTATTGTCTTGCTGTTCGTTTCACAGTCTTTGCCTAGCATCGGCTCTATACACCACAGTACCTTCCTTCATTTGAGTCCCCTAATAATAGTAACTGGTTAACAGTACAAATTATGAAGCTCTTCATGGTGTGCTTTCCTCCAGCCTCTTGTTACTTCCTCCCTCTTAGGTCTTAGTGTTCTCCTCAGGACCTTGGTCTGAAAACCCCCCCGTTTACATGTACATTCTTCACCTAGCGTGTTAAACCTAGTTTTACACACATACAGAAAGGGTAAAATTGTATTTTCTTATGCAGATTAATGTTTAGACTTTTAGATATAACACATAAAGATTCTGAACTGAATGTTAGGCAGCATTCCTAAAATTTAACCTGACTTTCATTCTGGCCTGAAATTTCTGCTTCATAAATATATTCCACCTGACCAGGAAATGGTGATTTTGAAGAGGGCACTAGTGAATGTTAACATTACTATATAGACTGAACAGGGATGGTAGGACAAGGAAGATGATCCATGTACAGTCTATCCAGTTTACCAGCACGCTCCTAACCATCACGGTAATAGTTTCGGAAGCTTGCAATTGGCAGTCCTTAGTCACATGGCATATACATAAACTTCACAATGTTTAAAAGGTGATATGAACTATCATCCAGGCCATGAAGATGTATTTCATGAGATCTGAGCTTTTCAAGGTGTTGAAGATCCATATGGTAGTATGATGGGTGGTTTGCAATAACCTTCTATATTGCTTGAGTGTTGTTCTTGTATAACGTAAAACAACTTCTATTCACTATTCCATTTCATGATGTTAAGTGCCAAACAATTACAGCTAGGCATATAACATTTTGCATCAGTACAGATCATAAACATACCTACAAATGCATAGTAATTTCTTGTACTTTAAAACCACAATCACAACAAGAGTGCTACAATAGAAACTACGTAGCACAGTAAATCAATATTAGCAGCAGTTAAAACACAAAAAGGAATTTTTAACTTGTATATTTATTCATCTGCAGTATCTCTGATAACACCTCATGGGGGCTATATGAAATTCTGTATGACAAGTTATAAACCTGCTTACAAATTGTGCAGCACAAAGTATGTGTTCAAAAAGCACAAAGGTAATACATTTGTTAAAACCTTTATTTACTATAAAAAGATAGAACAGTTCGGTCTAGTGTGACTGGTGAAGTTTTTCTTATTTCAATTCTTAACATCCTTACATGTTTCAGTCCTTAGAGACCATCATCAGAGGGACATCGATACAGTTTGGAAACCACTATTACACCAGGTGTTCTGAGTGTTAAAATATATATACATATAATGCTGAGAATACACAAATGGGTACAAAAGCCAAAGTTTTCACAACTACAGCTGCTGTCTTGATATTTAATTTTTTTTTTCTTTAACTTTTGTTAGTTAAGTTAGAATTTATAAACCAAACAGGTTCATGTCCTCTCTCTTATCAGCTCTCCTGATGGGGGCCGAACTTGTGCCGCCTGTCTTTCTTGAGAAGAAGGTTCTTTGATGTCATCCTGTGGTTGTCAGGAGAGGTGATAAGAGAGAGGACATGAACCTATTTGGTTTATAAATTATTTAATAACAAAAGTTAAAAAAAAAAAATAATATATGAAGACAGCCGCGGTAGTTGTGAAAACTTTGGCTTTTGCATCCATTTGTGTATTGTCAGCATTGTTATGTTTTAACACTCAGAACACCTGTTGTAATAGTGGTTTCCAAACTGTATCGATGTCCCTCTGATGATGGTCTCTAAGGACCGAAACATGTAAGGGCATGAAGAATCGAAACAAGAAAAACTTCACCAGTCACATTTGACGGAACTGTTTTATCTTTTTATAATACTGTTATTGTGACGGACCAGAATGAAACAAATAAAACTTTATTTACTGTTAACATATTCATGGCTATGGTGATCTTTTACATTTCTTGTTCCAGTCTGCACGATTCTTGTTATAATAATCCTTTGTTAAGAATGGTTTGGTTAACATAGTTCTGATTATGCACAACTTAAGAATATACACCCATATACTGAGAATAGCCTTAACCCCTTGAGTGTGACTTTAAGTGGAGCCATTTAATTCCCTAAGCGTGTGCGACGCACCGTCTGTGTCTGCTCAAACCCGTGCTGTAAGCGTGCGCGCCGCATATGTTGCGTCCAAACTTTTCACTAAGAATTCTTAACGCCTACATTCTGATGTATGTACTTCCAGTGAATGTATATGTGAGCTAATACTGACTTCTTTCATTCCTCGGTATCTGTTTGTGTGTGATATTTTTTTTTACTCGCTTTGCTTAGGACAAAGCATCTGGTGTCTGCTGCTTACAAAAGAACTATTCCAACTCACACTCCAACTTGCTTTCAGAGAGATAATTTGTTAGCTAACTTTCATTGAGTGCTTGTTATCTGTGTGTGTATTTTTTTTTACTGGCTTGGCTTACTTGAGACAAAGAAGCTGTGGTTACGAACCTAGGGGTCGAAGTTGCCTGACGCCTGTGTCAACATATATGAATTTGTTATCCTTTTCTGCCTTGCGACACTCTCTTATCGGAGCCCCAAGGCATTTGGTCATGTAACTTGTCTGGCGGGACAGTTTCTTGCCCCTGACGCAAATAAAATCGCGATTTCAAAAGTGGGTTCCCACAATTTTGAATGAAATTAGGAGATTCCTAGGTTTGCTTATGCTGATGGGAACAATTCAGAAACCAAACCTCAGGATGTATTTTAGTAGGAAACATAAGTTAGAAACACAATTTTTTCCCACTGTAATGAGTGAAGAAAGGTTTCCATTGCTGACTAGATTTCTCCATTTTGTAGATAACACCAATAAGGAAATTGCAAAAAGAGATCCTAAATTGTACAAAATTCTTCCGGTAAGTGAATATTTGAAAAATAAGTTCCAGAAAGTGTACATACGAGGCAAAGAAGTAAGTGTCGATGAATCTTTGTTATTGTGGAAAGGTAGACTTTCGTGGAAACAGTATATTCCTATGAAATCTTCCCGGTTTGGGATTAAAATATTTGAACTTTGTGATTCCGCAGGATATTTGTGGAATTTTATAATTTACAGTGGATCAGGGATAAAATTAGGCTGTGAAATCACCAAAGACACAGATCTTTTCTCAACAAAAGTGGTTCTAAGTTTGTGCGAGAAACTATTAGACTCGGGCAGATGTGTTTATATGGACAATTGTTATAGCAGTCCCGATCTTTTCCAGAGATTAGTTCAGAGGACAACAGATGCTGTTGGAACAGTGAAAATCACGCGCAAAGTTATGCCAATAGATCTAAAAAAGAAATTGAAGAAAGGAGAAGTAGTTAGTGCAAAGTGTGGGAAATTGGTGGCGTTGAAGTGGAAGGATAAGTGCGATGTCTCAGTGCTGACTCCTAAACATTCAGACGAAATGCAACCCGTAAGTCGAAAGGGTGGATTAGAGTTTGTAAATAAACCTACGTGTGTAATAGAGTATAATAAATATATGGGAGGTGTAGACTTGAAAGATCAGCTACTAGAAACATTCTTGCTAGAAAGGAAAAGGCAAAAAGCGTGCTACAAGAAATTATTCAACCACTTAGTAAATACCGCAGTGTTGAGTGCTTACATTCTGTACTGCAAGGCTGG